TCCCCGCTGAGCAGGGAGCCTGATGCGGGACTAGATCCCAGGACTCTGGGATCATGACCTGAGCCGAAGGCAGCCACTTAACCGACTGAGCCACCCAGGCATCCCGTGTCTGACTCTTGATCTCAGCTCAGCTCTTGATCTCACAGTCATGAGTTTAAGCCCCACACTGGGCTTCACACTGGGCGTAGAGCCTACTTAAAAAAACAACAGAAAAACAAAGGACATTTCTGGTCCTTATTTTACTAGATCTCTTAGCATTTGATTTTGTTGAACACTTGCTCCTTCTTTAAACCCTCTCTTCCCTTGGTATTCATGATACAACACTGTCTTCCTCCTAGTTTTCTGGGTATTTCTCCTTTGCAGACTCATCTTCTTAGCTGTTCATCTTCTTAGGAGTTCCTCAAGACTCAGGCCTAAGCCCTACTCCTTTCACCTGTTCTCTTCCTTGATGATCTCATCAAGATCATGCCTTTAATTACTATCTGTACAAAATATCTAACAAATTTGTATCCCCTTTCAGACTGCTTTTGAGCTTTCAACTACTATTTTCATTGCTGAATTGACATCCTCACTGGAATTACCAAAAAGCACTTCAAATTCAAAAGGTTTCAAGAACAGTTTATGACCTATCTTTTATTACAAAAGCTAGAAACTTGAAGTTAACTATAAAAATTCTTTTCCCTTACATATATCATCTCTGAGTCCCTTAAATATCTCTTGAATCTGTTTGTTTCTTTCCATCTAAGCAACTGTCTTCTTAGTACAAGCTACCTTCACTTCTTGCAGGATCAGTCCGATGACCACATTCTTTCTCTCACACCATGGTTCCTTTGCTCTCCTTTTAGTTACTTTGGCCTTTCAGTTTCTCAAACATATTTCCTATCAGAGTGCATTTTTGATGCTGTTCCCTCTGTCTGGAATGCTCTCTCCCAACTCCGCCTCTCTTCTAATGAAAGCTTTGGGTTTCATTTCTATCATTATTTAGTCCATTCCTGGCTGGGTTATTACCCCCTATTAAAAGCTCTCATATCTTCATGAAGTTTTCTGTTGTAGCATTTATCATTGTTGTACTTTTCATGACTTTTAAGATTAGTCACTAGACGGTAACCACTATGATTAGGGACCCTATGTTTCTAGTTACCATTGTGTTCTTACCACCTCGTATCCTGCCTGACATCTAATCAGCATTCAGTAAATATTCGTTGAATGCACTAATTACATCTCTCCCTGCTTATAGCTGAAGTGAAACGTGTTGGAGATACGCTCTTGGGAATGGCTACACAGTGTGTGCAAGTGAAGAATGTGGTCAAGACCTCGCCTCAGACTCTGTCCAATCTCTGCCTGAAGATCAATGTCAAACTTGGTGGCATTAACAACATCCTAGTTCCACACCAGCGGTATGAACTCTATTGCCCACTTGCCCTGTCAAGCAAGGTACCATGTCGGGGATTGACAAAACGACAGGACTCTGGCCAGGCAGAGTGAATCAGACACAAGGGGAGAGATGACCAGAATGGGTACTAGATGGTGCCAGGAAGAGAAGACCCAACTCCTCACCATTTGTTTTCTCTTCTTTGTTTAGCTCTGCCGTCTTTCAACAGCCAGTGATATTCCTGGGAGCAGATGTTACACACCCCCCAGCAGGGGATGGGAAAAAACCTTCTATCACAGCAGTGAGTGATACTCTCCAGCTTCTTCTTAAGGTTCTCATTTTAGCTCTGAGCACCGAAGACTACATATAATCTCCTTTTCTCAGCTCTGACGCTTGACCCTTCGTAAGAACTTTTTTTTTCAGCTGATCATCCCCATTAACCACTCCCTTGATATCTTCATAAAACTAACTCTGTATGGTATCTATTTTTCAGAGAGAGCAGTGAGAGTGTAGGTGGTGGCCAGAGACTTTGCCCAGTCTCCATCACTCTTGCTCTGTGTTCAAATTTCTCTCTCTCTCTCCATGCCCACTTTTGGGATATGGGAAAGACCATGTCTCTTCTCTGAAATCCTTTTGAAGGTGGTTACTTAGTTGCTGGGACTGTCCTTTCCTCTTCCCCATCCCTACCCCTGATCCGTCTAGTAGATTAAATGTCTTTCCAGTCCCTCTCCTGACTTCTCTGCTCCCTGTCCCTAGAGGCTTCCGAATTGCTAGAAGGATCAGGCCTTCTTCCCACTTCTCTTTCCTCAACCCTCACATTTCTCTAGGCAGACTGGGCTAAGCACAGTAAATGTGGGGAAATGCTTACGCTTGTTTTCCTTGTGGCCATCCGTCCTAGGCTCTGGCCACTGTGCCCTTTGAAAATGATGTTACTCCTACCTCCTGCAGGAACACTCTTCACTATGGTTTCTGGATAGATTAGTACTTGAATTGAGAAAAGGACTAACCTGTGGCTCTTTGAGCTAGTAGTGCCAAACCTTCACATGCCTTCCTGCAAGGGGTAAGAAAATTGAACTTACCAAGCACTTACTGTGAGCTAGGTCCTATGCAAGGTGTTTTATATGTATCCGAGCAGCACTGCAAGCAGGTGGCATTCTTACCTATTTGAGAGGAGGAAAAAGATCAGATGGATTAAATAACTTCTGCATGCATGATAGAGATTGAAACCAGGACACATTGAATCCCAAACCCTACTAACTCGTTTGCATAGTTTTCTTGCTAAGAAGCTTCCCCAAATCTACGTCCTAACAGTGTTGGGAGGGTGGAGATTCTGGAGGCTGATCCTGCCTCTTTGACTGTTAGGTAGTAGGCAGTATGGATGCCCACCCCAGCCGTTACTGTGCTACTGTGCGAGTGCAGCGACCCCGGCAGGAGATCATTGAAGACTTATCCTACATGGTGCGTGAGCTGCTCATCCAGTTCTACAAGTCTACCCGCTTCAAGCCTACCCGCATCATCTTCTACCGAGATGGGGTTCCTGAAGGCCAGCTCCCCCAGGTAGGGTCCAAAGTAGGTGGAGAAAACCTTCACATTGGGGCCAGAGGGCCTAATGGGTACAGAGAGTACTGCTCCCTTTTTTAAAGCTATTGGCATTGGGAGGTGGCACTTCTTTGAGAGCTTTGCTATAAATGGCGGTAGGCTTAGGAGCAGAGATCTCAACTGAGGATGGTGTGCACAGCATCTATAGACCTTTCTTGTGACAGAAGAGCCTCAGTGCATATTTACTAGTTGGTTCATGTTGAAGACTGATTCTTTAGACTAGTAGTTCGCAAAACTTTAGCATGCATCAAGATCACCTGAAGGGCTTGTTACAGCAGTTTACAGGGCTCTAAGAAGTGCTGATTCATCTAGTCTAGGATGGTCCCTAGAATTTGTAGTTCTTTTTTTTTTTCTTTTTTAAGATTTTATTTATTAATTTGAGAGAGACAGACAGAGAGACAGCATGAGTGGGGGGAGGGACAAAGGGAGAGGGAGAAGCAGGCCCCCGCCGAGCAGGGAGCCTGACGTGGGACTCGATCCCAGGGCCTGGGGTCATGACCTGAGCCAAAGGCAGATGCTTAGCTGACTCAGCAGCCCAGGTGCCCCTAGAGTTTGTAGTTGACAAGTTCCTAGGTAGGTGATGGTCTGGAGGCCACACTTTGAGAACTGCTGTTGACCTTCCTTCAGAAATGTTCCTCCTATTCTTTGTCCCTGCCAAGCCTTCATATTTCTGTTGTTTAGAATATATAATGAACTGGTTTCCTTGACTACCATTTAATATTAATATAAGTGTCATTTATTGGGTATTTCTTATGTACTATGAATTGTGGTAAGCACTTCATATATGTTCTATTTAATGCTTAGAATAACCCTATGAAATAATAATTATCGCATTTGACAGATGAGGAGGCTTGGAAATGTTAAATGATTTCTTCAGTGTCAACCAAGCTAAGCAGTCATGGAACTGGGATTCAGACAAATTGGTCTGATTCGAGTTTATGGTCAGTTTTCTCTAAGTCATCCAGTGTTCCCTAAAACAGCAGACAAATTTATCCTATCATTTCTCTGTTCAGGAATGTCTAGTGGCTTCACATAGTCTTGGGTTAAAATTCAAACTGCTTATTAGCAAAGCAATCAGCAGTTATTAAGCCCCTACTAGGTTTTCTGTGCTTTTACTTAATCTGTTAAACTTTTCACAACAGTTTTGTGAGGCTGGTCTTACTAGTAACTTTAGTAGATGTGGAGAAAATGAGACTTAGAAGGGCTAAGTAGCTTGCTTACAGGAATACAACTAGATAAAGCTTGGGTTTAAATCTAGTTCTAGGAGCACCTGGGTGGCTCAGTTGGTTAAGCGTCTGCCTTCAGCTCAGGTCATGATCCCAGGGTACTGGGATCGAGCCCCACATCGAGCTCCCTGCTCAGCGGGGAGTCTGCTTCTCCTTTCTGCCTGCCACTCTCCCTACTTGTGTGCTCTCTCTCTCTGACAAATAAATGAAATCTTTATAAATAAATAAATAAACTAGTTCTAATTGATTTCCATTCTATGTATTTCTACCATACAGTTTTGATTCCTTATATCTGACTTCTAAGACCACAAGGCAACCATTGCATATGGTTACTTGTGGGTCCTTCATTAGCTAGTCCATATTCTTATAATCCTACTTCTTTGTAGGACTGAATTAATCTACTCCCACTGTACCAATTCCTGAACTGTGTGCTCTTCTCTGGTGGTCTCAACACTCTCTGCTTTTGGAGCTCACAGGGGAATTCCTGTTATCCTCCTGATCCTGAGATTGACCTTACTTTGGGCATTGTGATTTTAGTGAAGTCTATGTGCTTTGGTTCTGTGTCTTGATATTAGGTCTCTTTATGCATAGGAACCAGGTGAGTGCTCTCTGCTGATGCCAAGCCTCCTGGCCAAGGTTTTATAGCAACATATGTGAACTGAGTATAAGGCTGATTTGGACAGAAAGGCTGTGTCATCTGTAATGGTTGGGTGTCTGTTTATAAAGGGAGACTGAGCAAAAAGCCGTATTACAAACAGCAACCTCTTAGTTGACAAAGATGTGACTCAAGAGGAGCTATTTCTCTTTGTCTCCCTCCTCACCCTGTGCCTAGATCCTCCACTATGAGCTGTTGGCCATCCGTGATGCCTGCATCAAACTGGAAAAGGACTACCAGCCTGGGATCACTTATATTGTGGTGCAGAAACGCCATCATACCCGCCTTTTTTGTGCTGACAAGAATGAGCGAGTGAGTGAGAGATTGAGGAAGCCACCCTTATCCTCATCCTATCTCCCTTCTCTTGATATGGAAGAAGCCCTTGAGATAAATCTGGGGATTTAGTCCTTGGTTTGTCTGTCCTCCCTAACCCCTTCCCCCAGCTCTTGTACTTCCTCTCCCTCCTCCTAGCTCCCTGGCCTATAGGCCCCCATATAGACCAGCTCCAGAGAAGGGAAAGGGAACAACTACTTATTGAACTTCTCTTATATGTCAGGCACTGTACAAGGTGTCTTCCTCACAGCAGCCCTGTGAGGTAGGTACTATTATTACCTCCAGTTTAACCTCAGAAATCTTAAACGACTCACTAAGGTCACACAGCTAATGAATAGTGAAATCAGCACTTAACCACAGGTTTGTGTGACAGTAGAAGCGCATTATTTCAAGATCTGGTACCCTCTGGGAACAGCAACTTCTGCTTTACTTTTGAGATTCTGGTGGAGTCAGAGTAGAATTGAGTTGGGGCCCTACTTAGGGCCAGGCAGATCTTGGGATCTTGTTTGTCTTTGTCTCTATACAGATTGGGAAGAGTGGTAACATCCCAGCTGGGACAACTGTGGACACCAACATCACCCACCCATTTGAGTTCGACTTCTATCTGTGCAGCCACGCAGGCATCCAGGTAGCTGGGCTATGTCCAGGGCTTTCCAATGGGTCAAAGATGAGTTGATTATTCCCACTGCCTTTAAAATATATCAGTTGTCACTGAGGGCATTCAGAAAAGAATTTTTCTCTTAATAAGCCCTTAGCATACTTGAACAGAAGTACATTTTGAACATCTTAGGCAGGATTGCCCATAACAAGGGTGTTTTATGGCATAGGTGGCTTTGTGTTTGCCTTTTCGTGGGTGGGTCTTCCAACCCAACCACACTTTTTTTTTATTTAAGATTTTATTTATTTGAGAGAGAGAGTGAAAGAGCACAAGCAGGGGGCAGCAGAGGGAGATGGAGAAGAAGCAGCACTCGATCCCAGGACCCTGAGATCATGACCTGAACTGAAGGCAGACGCTTAACTGAGCAACCCAGGCACCCCAAACGACATTTTTTTTTTTTTAAGATTTTATTTATTTGCCAGAGAGAGACAGCACAAGCAGGGGGAGTAGCAAGCAGAGGGAGAAGCAGACTCCCCCACTGAGCAGGGAGCCCGATGTGGGACTTGATCCCAGAACCCTGGGATCATGACCCGAGCCGAAGGCAGACGCTTAACCGACTGAGCCACCCAGGAGTCCCCCCAACCACACTCTTAACAGTGATCCTGTTCCTTAGCAATGGCCATCCCTTCTGCCCAGCTTGGGGCCCCCTCATCTTCCTATCTTCCCAGGGCACCAGCCGACCATCCCATTACTATGTCCTTTGGGATGACAACCGTTTCACAGCGGATGAGCTCCAGATCTTGACGTACCAGCTGTGCCACACTTATGTACGATGCACACGCTCCGTCTCTATCCCAGCACCTGCCTACTATGCCCGCCTGGTGGCTTTCCGGGCACGATACCACCTAGTGGACAAGGAGCATGACAGGTGAGGCCTGGGATCAAGCTGGCTTCCCTTTTGCTTCAGCTTCTGGTACAGATCCTCTCAACTTTCCTTGGGCGGAAGGAAATGAATATTGTACAGTATGATATCCTTGGGCTCATCTGCCCAAATCTGGGTTGGGACTTTCTCTTAAGTTGGTATGGGAATTGGTACTCTGGATGGGGGAATGAATTAGCAGCAGCTCAGTGCACCAGGAAGGACTTCTTTCATTTTTGCTTTTCAGTGGAGAGGGGAGCCACATATCGGGGCAGAGCAATGGGCGGGACCCCCAGGCCCTGGCCAAAGCCGTGCAGGTTCACCAGGATACTCTGCGCACCATGTACTTCGCTTGAAGGCAGAACGCTGTTACCTCACTGGATAGAAGAAAGCTTTCCAAGCCCCAAGAGCTGTGCCGCCCAAATCCAGAGGAAGCAAGGAGGAGGGAGGGTAGGGAGGAGTTCAGAAGGCCTTGTTTCCTTCTACAAAGGGGGCTTTAAAAGGGTGGGGAACAGGGCCAGTAAGCCAGACCACCAGCCAGAAGTCTCTGATGTCCACCTCATGACCCCCACCCCTCACCCCATCTTGTCACATCTGGCCCTGACCCCACTGGACCAAGAGGGGCAGCACTGGTGCCCACCATACACACAGGTGTCTCATGTGACTTGCAGTGCTAAAGACTCATGCCTGACAGCTTGGTAAGGTCGGCTCTGCAGCCCCACGGACAAAAGCTGGTAGGTTTGGGTTTGATAATTTAGATGGGAGAGTGAGGGGCTTGAGAAGGTGGGTGGGAGGAAGGAAGGATTTTTTAGGAGCCTTAATCAGAAAAGGTCTAGATTTGTTTAAGAGGAAAAACGAAACCAGACCCAGATCAATATTTTAGAATACTAGATGTTTTAATGGGTTGAAAATCCAGTTTGTAGGAAGATTTTTAATGCTAATGATTTTGGTTGCTCCTCCCCCAGCTGCCACCTCCCTTTCCCTTATTCCTTTCTCTCCACCTTTTCTACCCCACCTTACACCTCCTCCCTGACAGACATCCAGCCCCTAGTAAGACTTAAGGCACTATGGCACTTAGCTCTGAAGTGACACGACCCTGTCTTCCTTCCGCCTACTGGTGGGTAACCAGTGCCTTCCCTGTAACGGTAATGCTGCAGAACTGCAACCTTTTGTACCTTTCTTTGGGGGGGATGGGGTGGGGGTGGGAGAGGAGGTAGGTGGGGAAGAAATACCCCTAACCCAACAAGCCTCCAGCCAGAGCGCCAGCTATTTTGCATTCAAAGGAATTGACTTCCATATTCATTGAGCTTTTAAAAAAGATCACAACCTCAAGATGGTTAAAGTCCATTGACATTTGCACTTTCAGACATGATGTCTTGGAGCTGCTGAGATGACTGGCCCCTGGCCTTTCCACTTAACGCCTCCTTTTCTCCCTGTCCCCCCAAGCCTCCCCACCTGCCTGGGTCTGGAGTTACGTTCATAGCATTTCTCATTCTTGGCTTCTTTTTTCCCCTGATGGTCAAGTTGCTTATGTTTCAATATTTCTTAACTGGGGTGTCTTATAACAAATGATCTTAAGTCTAAAATAAGAAAAAAGAGCAAAAACTAAATGTTATTTTTATACCATAACTTGAGTCTATTGCCAAAATCTGGAAATCCCTCCCATGCCCACTAAGTTTACATCCCAGAAACATTGAGCCATCAGAAGGAACTATGTACCGGACTTGTTCTTTGGCCTGGCTCGGTAGAGGGTGGTTATCCCCTCACGGTGGAGCTCAGGCTCCATCCTTCCCCTGTGCAGATAATATCTTTTTCTTGCTATAGGCTCCCTCCTCTGCACTGCCCTGCACTCTTTCCTGCAAGTGCATCTTCCCTTTCTCTGGACTGTCCTCTGATACTTTGGCTCATCCCAGATTCCAGTGTGTCCTGTGGACAGGCTGGGGGATTTTGCTGCTCCCTATTGCTTCTGTTTACACAAATGAATTTTTCCCAGTTTCCCACTAGGGCATGTGAGTGGGTGGCATGGGCCTTTGTTTTGTTTTGTTTTTTGTCTCCCGAGATAAAGATGGGGTTTGGCTGTCTTGCAGAACTGGAAAAGTAGGGGGTTTCTAGCTTGGTGCCTGCTGGCCTTGAGGCAAGGCCCCCTCTTTCCTTAACTGTTCATTTTTTTCCTATCCCACTGCTTGGGATGAGGAGTTGCAGCTTCCGTGTGGATGTTCCTCTTTTTGAGGAGCCTGGGCTTGGGTTTGCCCCAATCTGGTGATGAAGCCATGACACTTTAGACCTAGCTCAGGCTTGGAGGCCGGTCTGAATCCTGGCCTGTGTGCTTAGAGCTACCATTTCCCCTCCCCAGCAGCCCTTGTACAGACCCAGATTTGCTATGCAAAACAGTCTATCCCAGGTTCTGTTCTGGTTGGCTACTTTGTTCAGCGACTTCACAAAACATAGCACAAACATTGATTATGGAGAAGGCATCAGGACTGTTGAGTAACTCCTCCTCTACTTCTTTCCTACTGGCTATAGCATGGGATGCCCCATGGGTACAGCCCAGCTGAAGAACGGAATGGAGGGCTCTGGGAGGAGGCAGCTCACTGGAGAGCCTACATTCCTTACACAAGTGCCTAAAGAGAGTGATGCCAACACTCCATCTGCCCTGTCCATCGCCTTCATATACTGTCTACTTCGTGTTCAGTCACCCTTTGGGGAGGGGAGCTCTCTTGGGACAACGGGCTCTGCATGTTCTCTTCTTGGGTGCATTTAGGGGCTGGGATCAGGGCACTGTTCCTGGAGGGTCCAGTCATTCACCAGCATTTGCAAATATCCATAGGGAGCTGGTGGTAGCCACCTACTCTCAGCAACAAGTTTATGTTCTCTCCTTTTTCTCTCTTTGCCTCACTCTCTCCATTTGGGTTTTGAGCTGGGGCCTGAAATGCATTTTTTAGCTCTTTGGCATTGTACATGCCATTCAAGAAATAAAAAGCAAGAGAAGCGGTTTGGGCAATGGCAAGAAAATGACTTCTTGCTCTGATTTTTTTTTTTTTTTTTTAAATCTTTGAGACTTGAAAAATACCCTTGACCTTGAGGATTATTCTTATTTGAAAGATGGTGCATGTAGATTGAGAAGTGGTATTCGCAACAAGCTTTGGCTTTCTTGGATTTGATTTAAGTGGTGCTTCTTACTTGTGCTCTGAGGAAGTGTTGGGGGGATCCCAGCCTCATCCTCTTGGACAGGTCTCTTGCTCCCTTCGTTCTATTCCCTTGCCTCTCTTTTCTACTTCTCTCTTTCCCTGGCTCCTTTTCCTTTTTTCTTTCACTAAGCTTGTTTGCTGGCCTGCCTGCCTATGTGATGATGAATTCTCTGCATGGCTTTGATAATCCCACTGTTAGCTAGCAAGGTCAGGCTTAGCTCCTTGGCTGCAGAAGACCAAGAATCTGTTCCCGAAGCCCGGTGATGTTCTCTCTGGGCTGGACTGCCATCAACGTTACACAAGGACAGAGCAGCAGGGCTGCCTACCTGGCATGAAATCAGGAGGGCTTCTGACAACTTGCACACCTGTCCACTCCTTGGAGTTGTTTTTTCTCATTGCTTTTTCTAGATCTGGTTCCATTTCTCTACCTGCCTCCCTTTTCTGAGGCTGTCCTAGGGTTGAGCTACTTGGTTTCCAGGGTTGGAGGGTTAGGGGATGGACTTGGGGGAAGAAGAGAGTGATGGGAAGAGAATGGAGAGAATTTGGATAAAAGATGGGAAAGAGCACTGTTCATTGATCATTTTTCCAGTCCAGTCTGACCCATTGGGGGTTGAGGTGCTACTGTTGAACTCGGGATAAACCTGGGGCTATTGTTGATGGGAACTTAGGTTTAGAATAATGTTGACAAGGAAGATACCTAAAAGCATGAAACCTCCCTTAAAAGCTCCTGGTTCCCACCTACTAGATAGCTCTACTGCAGCCTCCTCTTTGGCTAAGCAACAATGTTCTTGGATGGTGGTTTTGTTTTGTTTTGTTTTGTTTTGGTTTTTTTTGGGGGGGGGTCCTAGAATTCAGTAAATGAGGCTAGCACTCAGGATGGGCGGCCAAGGGGACATTTTGAATTCTTAGCTGGCCCATGGGGTATCTATCTGCAAGGCTGGTGGGTAGTGTTTTAGACCTGGCATCATGTTTAACAAAGAATGGAAGTTCCTTCCCCTTCAGGGTGGAAAGTTATCTCAAACTAGCCAAAATGCAGTTTTGGAAACTACATTGGGGGAAGTTATTTTTTATATTTACTGGGCCTAGGCCAATCCAGGATGGTAGCTGGGATGCCTTCCTTCTTAAAGTCTGATCATGGCAGGGATATGCAGGGCACTCTTTCCTATTTAGCCTTCTAAGCAGATTGGGGAGAAGGGATTCTCTGGTTTTCTCTTTTCCCCCCTTTTATTAGGACTTGCCTTCTCCCTAGGTAGGGAGAGAGGCTAGGTTGGTGCTCTCCCCTTACTCTATTCCTACTGACTTAGAACCTCTGGCTGCTGTTTGGGAGCCTAAGAATGGGAGTGGAGGGAATGGGCTCAAAACAAAACAGAATAAGGTGGGGAAGGCAGATGTCCTTCTTTAAAAAGGAAAATAGGAAACTCTCCAAGGATTGTGCAAGTAAAGACAATGTGTCAAATGCACTGAGTCCCCTGGTGTAGTAGCAATAAGGAAAAATGAAATGACTTTCCTGTGCACACAGTCCAACCTGATTGGTGTGTGATGTTGCACTTAGCAGCCATCTGGTGGGCATGTGTGACTACTCTGGGTTTCACTTTAGTTTCTAAACTTTTTATCCCTCTCAAGTCCAGCATGGATGGGGAAGTGTCCCTGGAGCCCCACAGCTGTGTACTTGTTTGCATTTGTTTCCCTTTGAGACTTGTGTTTGTGTCCTGCTTTGAGCTGTACCTTGTCCAGTCCATTGTAAAATTATCCCAGCAGCTGTAATGTACAGTTCCTTCTAAAGCAAGCAACAGCAGCAGCACAATTCTGTGTTTTATAAAGACAACAGTGGCTTCTATTTCTAAAGTGCGGTCTCTCTCTCTCTTTTCCCCCACTCCCATTAGCAAAGAAAACTGTTGGGATTAATTATATCTCTGATATATTTTAGGTTAGAGTATTAGATTGTTATAACAGCAGAACTATCACCTCTATAGGAAAGTGGATAAAAAACCACCAGAGTGTTGAAGCTACAGATTATATGTAACCATACTTCACAAGGCCTCCATTTATTCTTCATTCAACAAACCATACAAAGCACTGTGTCCAGCAGTATTGTTGGGGGAGAAAGGAAGCACAATTCAGAAAGGAGAAAAACTGTGTCTCTCTCCTTAAGGAGCTTAAAGTTTAGTGGGGGATATGAGTGGCCAAATGGTTCCCTAGCCAAATGATGAGGGACTGAAACAAGGCTGTAAAGCTATAGCAGTGAAGATAGGAAAGGGAAGATTTTTGAGAGACACTCAGAAGATAGTACTCAATAGATGATGGAAGGGAGAGAGGAGTAGAGGCTAATAATGCTCAGGCTCCTACTTGAGCAATGAGTATATTGGGACATTCTTCTAACCAAGGCTGGGGGAGAAGGGAGACGATAGAAGAAAGGTGGTGAATTTTGTGAAGACAGCATTGTATAGACTGAGTGTGGAGGTTCCCATGAGGCAACAAGTTTAAGGTTTCCAGTAAACACTTATATTTTGGTGCTCAGGGAAGACTGCAAAACTGCAATTGTAGATAATGGGATTCATACTCCTATAGATGGTAGGTAAAGCCATAGGAATGAACAAGATGGCTGAGAAAAAGAGTAGAGCAAGAAAACATAGGGTCCCACTCCAGACAATTTAAAGGAGGAGAGGAAGCTGAACCTAAGAAGACTGTTAAATCACTAGTAGATACCTTGTATATTTTTTACTTAATGAAGTGGGAGAAAAGTCAGGAGAATGGAATAGGATCCAAGAAGGGCGTAATTAACAAGATGAACTGCTGCCTTGAGGAGGTATTTTTTTCTTCTGTTTACCATCCTCCACCCCATCTTCTTTGGCATCTGGTAACTATATGGTCATTCTCCACTATTTCTTGAAAATGAGCATTGAAAAAACCTAATTTAAATAAGGCTAAGACTAGGATTTCCAAGTTGTTCACCACAACCACCACCTCCACCTCCAGCTTCCTCCTGTCCTCAGGAGATACTTGTAAAAGAATAAAATAAACAAACCTACTAATTTTGTTCCTAACCAGTGTCCTAGATGGTGTTCCAGTGCACTTGATAGCACTTAGCAGCTGGCTTTATTTTCATGACTTGTTTTCCCCAGAGCCTGTGAACTCCTATGAGCAGAAACTACATTCTGTTCATTTTTTGTCATCTCAGGGCTGTAGCTTATATCAGGGGATCAATATTTGTGAATAGACTTGAAATTATCTAGAAATTGTGGTTCATGAATACAGAGGGGGAGTCAAGAAGTGATACTGAGTGCACAGGATGGACTCAGCATTCCTGACTCTTCAGGTAAGTAGAAACTTAACCAAATTACCATCATCTTTTCTTACTCTCACCAAAACTTGGAGGTTCTATGGTTTTGTACCTTAAGCTGATGGTACAGTTGTCAAGCATGCAAGTTCTGGCATTCCTCCCTGGTATTGCTAGAGCACTGTTATTTCTGTGTACTGGGGGAAGATGGCTCAGAGATGGATTCTGGCCCAGGGCCCAGTAAGAAATTTTCAGTGGCAGCTAGTGTGTACATAAAAGGGCCTAGCATTCCTCTGGAGGCCCAGTGTTGTGACTTTCAAATTGCAAAGCTAACCTGTGTCTACCACCTGTCAGATTCCCTTGGAAGCAAGCTAGCCGTACCCAGCTCCTTTTCAGCAGCAAGGGTTAGTTAGGTTGATCAAACTTGAGCAAATTGGAACATAGAGGAGATTTTTCCCACTTGAAATAAAACTTAAATAAATCTATAACCCTTAATGAAGCAGAAATAAAGTATTTAGCAGAGTAAGTGGGAGGGTGATCATTATGACACATCTTGCCATAAATTTCAGTTTTAGAAATGATTGATGTTCAGAAGGTTTCAGAATTTGGCTGTTGGTTGCTACTCAAGAGAAAAAGATAGTGGGCTCCCACTATTCTGATTTGTCTGGTCCTGGAGCTCAAGGTTTTGAGCCAAGGCTTGTCTTAACACCCCTGGCCATTCCTCTTTAGTTTTGGTTGAGCAGCCTTTCCTTTGCCCTGTCAATTGGCAACATATACCGTAGCACATTCTTGTCTAGGAAGTGCCTTGGAGCAAAGTGAGGCTGGGTATTTGTTGGTATCTTTTGGCTTAGCAAACCCCAGAATCTCATGGCAATTAGGGTTTGGTGGCTAAATGAAATGGTTATAGTGCAAAGAGAAGACTATTTCAAGTTCTGAGCCTGGGCCATCCCTAGACTGCCATCTGTACTGCTTGAATGGAAAGTAGCATTGAATTGTAGCAAATAGCTCTTCCTATTTGTTTCTAGCTTTCAAGCCCGTTCATTCCCCTGGCTACAGGCTGAGGAAACCTGGCAAGCTTAGAAGTTACAGAGTATGACAGAAGCAATCCTTTAAACTGGAAAAGTGGACTTTCTGGGGATGAGGTACATTTAAAAGTTCTCCACTTAAGCACCACAACCTCCTTCCCCAGGATATCCTATCAAGGTTTTTAGACCACCGTGGTTTACCTTGCAGTAATACACTGTCCCTTTGTTCTAGACTGCAGGAGCTTCAGCACTATCCACTTGGCAGTCTTTTTTGGACAAAGAAGTCTTGAGGGATCTTTCTAGGGAGCCCTCCATTCCTCTTCCTCACCTTCTGAAGGCAAGGAACTTTCTCTTAAAAGAGACAGTGGGAGTTCCTAGCCATGTTTTTGGAAAAGGCCAATGGCTTGTTAAGGGAAGTGATCTGAAAAGGAGCAGCAGCTTTGAATACTTGGAAGTATATGAGTAGGTGTTTTGTACAGTTTCTGTTATCTTATTTAATTGCATCTTCACAGCATTCATGTGAAGTAGTTTATCTGTTCCTTTCAATTGCACATAACAAACCACCAATTAAATTGGCTTAAATAAGAAACCTGTAACATGACAAAGAAGTCTTGATTTAGTATGGCTCCAAGGTTGGTTAATTCAGTGGCTCAGTGATAATACCAACAAAGCAGGTTCTTGCAGTGACTTTCCTCTGCTATTCTTTGTTGGTTTATCCTCATGCTGGTTTGCCTCAGGGTCCCAAGGTGGCTACTGCAATTCCAGGAAGGAAATGCTGACAGAATAATGTGTAACAGAAAAGGGACTAATTTTTCCTTACATTTCATTTTAAAGTAAGAAAATCCTTGGAAGCCCCAGCAGATCTGGCCTATCTTATTCACTAAAAATGGGTCATCTTCTCACTCCTGTCATTGGCAGAGCAAATGAGATCATTCATCATGAGTGGCTTAGATTAATTAGGAGTTACCCTCTGAGCAGTTACCGTGCTTCATCAGTCTGTGGATTAGAAAGACAAGTCTGGTCTGCTAGGCAAGAAAGAAGGGGATTAGGGCTCCTGGGTAGGTATCCAGCAGTGTCTTCTCTACTTGGGTACTCTGGCTTTTAGAGATGAGGAATGTAAGGTTCAGAGTGACTTTTTGGAATCACATACATTAGCAGAGAGCCTTCAGTCTCAGCTTTGTCCCTAAGGCCAGTATGTTTTATAATGTGTTCTCCTACAGTATAAAATAACTTGCTGCTATGTAAAAACTGATGGTCTGGGAGAAGAAATTTAAATTTGAGTCAAATTGAGTAACTTCAACCCCCATGTAAGAGAGGATTCTATCCAGTTGCTCTCATCATCCAGTGGTGATGTTTATCTAACACAGGAAGCCTAGGAATGCAGCTTTCCGAGGGCACTGGTTTCCTTGTCCCTCAGATGTCTGTACTATTTTATAGTTCTCCCTTCTGAAAGCAACCAGTGCCAGAAGGGATGAGGGCAGAGTTTTAGCCTGCTTCCTGAGCCCCATTCTTGAAGCCCACTCATTCATCCATCCATCCCATAAATCCTGGAATGTTGCTGTGTGCCAGGCACTGGCACTGTTCTAGGCAGTGGGGCTATGGCAGTTAAGATACACAAAGATCCTGCTCAATGGCCTTAAGAGCCAACTTGTTTGGGAATGAGGTTATCCAAAAATAGGGTGTGCATGTGGTCGGGGGAGAGCCTCATACAATTTGCTTTTGGCAGAATCATTAGACCTTTTGCCTTCCTACTTCTTGATATTACACTTAATGTACTTTTCACATAGGCTCACTCTAAAGAGGTGGTGGGGTCCCTGAATAGCAGAAATAGATGGGATACTAAGTCAAACTGAGTTAGGAGGTCCAAATCCTGCTTAATCAAGGTCAACAAAGAAGACAGTGGCCTACCTCAAGGGTTCATCACCCATCACCATGTCTATTCTGGGAGAGGATAAGCCTGTAATCACTTAGGGAATCAGTTCCAGAATGGGGGGTTGAGGGTGTGATAGACCCTTGCACAAGAGTTGGTATTTACCCTGTGGGGATGATGCTACTGACTTGCATTCTGTATAGTCAGGTATTGAAAATAATTTTTAGGATACAGTGTTTCATCTGGTGACATTTAATTTGATACTTTGAAATTGAAATTCTGTAAAAGGGTTAAGGGTGGGAAGTAGTGAGGCCGAACTGAAGTCAGATGAGGGTTTGAATCCCATCCATTTATGAAATGTTCACTTTAAGGTAGGTGCATCTAATAAGTGCTTTAAAATGTTAATGATAGTAAACTTTATTCACTAACAGTTAGGGAGGGTTTGTTCTGGTTTATGTGCATTCCCTAACCTCACAACAATTGTGTAAGGTAAGTTAGTCTCTCCATTTCTCAGTTAAGAGGCTCAAGCGACTGATCCAAAGTCCCACAGTGATTGGGAGGAACTGAAGACGAGATACTTTTGTTCTATATCCCAAACTTTAAAAAACAAAATACTTTGATTTTTTAAAAGTCTAAATGACATTATTGATGTTTAGGGACATAGGTAAAAATC